CTCTCCTGATCTGTCCGACACTCGATATACTTGTTGAGGAGCCTTTTGGTTTCATCGTTGGCTCGTCTTTTGGCTGTGGACACCTGTTCTAAGGGGATAGGAAAGTGAATTCGGATATCGACTTACGTACTGAGACGCGTCTTAAAATTAATACAGTTGGAACACGTGTTAGTATATCAATTTAAGGATGATTCTTTTATGATATATTCGATTTTATTATATAAGGAGATTCAGATGGCATGACTTATGGGATCATTCCAATCATTACAAACAGTGCATTGATATATGTTCACAAAGTATATACATTTCAAACACATATCAATATATCAATTTCTGGATGGTTGCGTACGAAAGTCTTGTTGCGTTGACTATATTGAATTTGTACAACTATGATGTCATATTGTTAGTCAATCATATATTTGTAATAAATGTACACATTTTTTTGATTAAATATCATATTTTAAAATATAAATAACAATGTGATATTTTATAATCTAAGAATTTTTTTTTTTTTATAAAATAAATATGTTTGTCTAGGGATAGTCTATCAATAGTCTATCAATAGTATTTATTTGTTTATTACTTTTATTTTGTGTGTGTGTGTGTGTGTTGTGTGTGGGGGAATCAATTGCAATTATTCAACCCCACCTTTTGTGTTTCATTTTCATTTGACTTTTAGTGATGATTTAAGGTTACCATTTGTAAGAAAACATCGCAATCATTTGATTTTCATCAAGAATCGTATTTAGCCATTGTTCCACAACAACGACTAACTTTGAAAATCAATAATTATGTGAGAGATTGGTTCTAACCTCATCCCTTATTGAGATTTTTGTCATGCTTTCAACTAACAATTTCCCATTTTTGGGTAAACTTTGTGTTGTGTGCACTAATATAATGAAATAATAATTCCTTGTCATTCATTTCGTACTTTGCCAAATTTTAGGTGTGTTTTTAGATTTTGAGCCCACAATTTCAAAATGTTTTATTAGGTCCTTGAAGTTGAAAAAAATAAATATAATGTGTAGGCATTCATAGTTATATATATATATATATATATATATATATATATATATCGAATTGGTACGAATTCTATTCCTTAGGTTGTAAGGTATGATATTATGATGGATTTAGAAGGATATCAATGTATCCATTTCTCTAACCAAGTTGGCTCCAAT